TGAGAACAAAACTCCCTTTTTACAATCTCTCCTGTACTTAAAACTTCCCTTCCCAAATACCAGATCTCCCCTCCCCATTTCAATGGCAGCCGAAAGCAAATAGCGAAACAGAGGCTGACACTGGGGCATATTTGTGCCATGGTAACATGCAGTATATGTGGTTTTAGTGACAACATAAGATTGGGATGAAATGAAGATAATGTGTAACCAAAAGGGTTGCCAAAGCATGATGAAATGTGCTAAATTGCCAATGAGGGCAGGGTATAGAATAGGTCTTAATTACAATAATACAACAGACCTATCTGCATACTAGTTCCATTTGTCATACTCATACAAGTCTGTCTTCTATGATGGAATAGACCACATTTCTTAGATTTTTAGATACACTCAATAGTTGTACAAGCAGTGTCTTTTCCAAAATTGAAATAAAATGTAGTTTCTCTTGAGTATTCTAACTTTAGTCTCACAGAATATGATTTGAAGAGCTTATTGTTATTATATCAGTTAAACTCCATTTTTCCTCCATCAAGATAAATAATTTTTTTTCTGTAAATAGTGTAAAGCCAGAAAAGTACGCATAACTTCTTTCTTAATTAGATAAAGCAAGATTAGATTAACAGAATTCGATTGTTCTTTAGGCTTTCTTCTGGGTTGTTTAATAGTTATGAATGATAGTGACCTATATTTTAAGTATTTTTTTCTTTCAAAAAGTTGTTTGCAATCTGAAGTGTTTTTCTAGCATGTTATTTGTTAAGGATACTGAACAATAACACAATGAAAGTTATAGAAAACTGGAACGAATAAAACTCTGTTGCCATAAATTGGATTTCATTGTTAATCATCAGGCATGATGCACAAAATAATTTCTGAATTGTGCAATAGCTTTATTAAAATAACTTCAGGCAGAAAAAAATAACAGGCACGTTGTCTCCTTAATTAACACAAATTAACTGCTAATGTTTATCAAAAAGGCTGCTGTAATTGAAGGTTAGGTTCATTGTGCTAGTTTTGTTGATCACAATGTTGAACACAATGTCTCTTTAATCTGCTCACAATAGTTGACAAGATTATTCATAACCGTAGTGAATAAAGTCTTGGATTTCCTATTCCATAAAGTCTGCTTCAACACTGTGATTCCCTCTCCCATTGACTTGGGGTTCTTCGTTCGAGGCATGTTAATGTTGTATTTTGCCTCAGGAGCAGTATAGAAGCCTAGTGCTGTCTTTGTACATTTAATACAGGACAAATTAAGGGATGTGTTTATAGATTCGTCTAATTTTATTAGGAATAACCCAGTTTTTGCCTCATTTTAGAGGAAAATAGGGTTACTCATCAAGGCATTTCAAATTACATTAGCATGCTTTTATGCTGACTCAAGAATCGGAAGGATATACGATAATGTAGTCATGAGGAAGGGACTCTAGGAATCAGATTATATTACATCTCCATCCACAATAGATCCAGTAAACCTTTTCTCAGGAAATTTATCTTGGTGTGCAAATAGACCTTGTATTAAACTTTGTTTTCATCCATAGTTCTAAAGGGTGTTTCACAAGTTCATTTTCCAAACTGTCTTTAAAACCCCCCTGTAAAAATGCATGGAAAGTGGCGTGCCAAGGCTTCAAGTACTTAATGCAGGTAGGAAAAAATGAACAAAGGAGACTATTTTCAGTGGTTTTGCCATGGAATGGGGGAACACCTCCCCACCCCACCCCCAGGGTGGATAAAAATCTTTAATATATGGTTTATTCATCTCATGGCAAAACTAAGGCAGTAAATCAGAATGGTGCGTGACCTTCAAATGGTTTGAACAGATATTTATATCTGTGTTGCAGAGTTCTTTCCGTTCTAAAAATATAGACCATTATATGGCAGTAACCTCACAATACTTTCATAACCTTTCATACATACTGTTAAAACAAAGCCTAAAACATAATAGGTCATACATTCTCTCACACATTCCATTTGATATAGTATAATTGAGGGCATGTAGTTCTCTAGGCAATGAGTTCCCTACCTATACTATTATGTCTTTCTGGAATAATGTATGTATGTATGTATGCATGCATGCATGTATGTATGTATGTATATTAAGTGTTCTCTTCCCGAGTGTATTACTAACATTTTAGTAAAAGCTTGGATTCCTGCCTATGAAAGCAAGTCTGGACCAATTCAATAGCAGTAGAGAGAAATTAAGTTTGATGTTTCTTACCCCCTTTAATCTCCTGGTACTTCCCTGCATTCAGGTTATTTATAGCATAGTTTTAAAGCAACAGCACTTCAACAGGAGCTAAGCTGCTGTATGATATTTCAATAATACTAAGGAGATATGTATGGGAAAGGACTTTGTACTGCTAGAGTTTTCATTGTTACCAAAGTGGCCTTCAGGACCACAGTTTTCTTCTTTTTACACATAATAGGTCACCATAAAATGGAAATGCTGGTTGGCAGTGTCACTGTTTCCCAAAGGGTTTGTGTCCTATTTTTGTTGAGAGGAAATCTCTCAGCTCAGATATAATGACACAATTCAATGCAAAGACAAGGAAAAGTACCGCTGTTTCCAGATAAACCTTTTACAGTGCTTGTGTTAAGTACTTATGGTAGTTTTGTGGATGGTGTCTTCGTTTAGATGTTTCTTATACTTTTTTTTCACTTTAAGGTAAGGTATTTGTAAACTGAAGACTCTTAAACCCTAAAAATCTTTGCTTTGTGCTGTAAAATAATCTGAATTGCAAAATATCCTTTAAAAGGGAAAAATGTAAAATTTCATTCAAGGAGAAAAGAATTAGGACATATGTATAAGATACAGCAGTCATTGCGTGAAAACATTACATATGAGAGGAACTTTGCTGTGAATATTGACACAAACTGAGCATAAATCAGCAATGTAAGGCAGCTACGAGAACAGCTCCATCAACTTTTTATTATGGTTGCAGACCAGAGTTAAACACCAAAATGTTAAAATAAAATAAAAAATAGAGCAGAATAAGACTTAATAGTACATTATTGTTAGTGGTGGGATCATTGATAGATGGCCAAGTCTGCCTAATTTTACAGACAGTAGAGCAGAATTTAGTACATTCGAAGAAACTATATCATACTGATATGATAGTAATAGTTGTAAATAAAAGAGAACAGAACTTCCTGCATATTTTACCAAGTAAGAACAAATAAAATGAGTCCATGAATCCTTATAAAGGGAACAATATCATAGGATATGAGCTGTGGTTTCAATGGACCCTTGTCCAAAGAGCTACAATGGGACTTTTTGTTTCAGCCCTCCAGAACTGCTGTGAGAAGAGCATTACAATGTGCTAGAATTAGTGTTATTCAAAATTTAGAAACAGTTTATATAATATAGATGTCAGAGCTGCCTCCTATCAATTCCTAGGAAAGGACACCTTTGATTCCATAGATTCAGAAAAATATACTTTTACTAAGAAAGAACTGAATGCAGCAAAAGTCAGGCAACGTCTGAAGCAAACATGCATGAAAAAGATAAATTAAAAACCATCCCAGAGCCCAGAGCTCACCCACTAGTAGTCAGGCAGACAGAGTCCAATCATAGGCCAGGAAACTATTTTGGGAATGTTTCTGGTTCAGGTGCTCTGCCCTGCCCTCATGCATGCCACTCTCAGAATGGCTGGTCTTGAAGATGTTAAACAAGTCAAGTTGACCTCTGTGAGTCCAGTCCTCCCCATAGTTCTCAGCAGTTCTGCTCTCACACCACCTGCACACTTCCTCTCCCAAATACCTATTGCTCGCTGCCTCACCATTTCCATAGCAGCTGGCAGCAAGCTTAAAGAATAGCGATGATGGCCAGGTTGACAAAAGTTATCTTGCTGGTTTAGGAAGCGGGTTTGAAATCACACCTAAAATACTTTAATTAATCAGCTGTTTGATAGTGTCTACAGCATGGCTCTCCTATCTTTAGAGCTGATTGTCAGATCTGACATTTTGAGATCATGTCACAAATGATCTCAAAAGAGGTGACATGATTGTGGACACACATAAAACATTCCTTTCCAGACTCACATTTTATAGCATGCTGGCTTCCTATTTTATATGTCTAAATTTTAAAAATGCTAATTGTTCTTTTAAAAAATGAAATAGTTGATTATTTCTAATATCAGGTCGGGTGGCCTCTGTGAGCACCACACTGAATACTCCTAATGTTAGGAGTTGTTCTTCTGAAAACTCTCAAAACTGGTATAGAATAGTTTTGGGAAATAGACAAAGAAGGAAATGAATTAATATAGAACTGGAAACAAAGGACCTTCCAAAAATCCTCAAGCAACCTAAGTCTATGTGTTTATATTTATGGGTTAATACTGGGAGGGTGTAATTCTGGAGTGAGGGTTCTTATAGAGTGGAATGGAGGTTGGGACTGCATTCATTTGAGACATACCTCTACTCCTTATTGTTCTAGACCAATGGTTCTCAACCTTTCCAATGCCGCGACCCTTTAATACAGTTGACCCCCAACCATAAAATTGGTTTCTCGGTTCCTAAGACCATCGAAAATATGTGTTTTCCGATGGTCTTAGGTGACCCCTGTGAAAGGGTTGTTCGACCTCCAAAGGGGTCCCAACCCACAGGTTGAGAACCACTGTTCTAGACCCTTCCACAGTCCTTCTCGCCTTATGACTTTTCTGGGTCTTTCTATAGCTTGCTGCACAGGTCCTAGAGGAGAAAGGCATTGCTTTTGGATTACTGGATTCTAAGAAAGATGCAAAGCTTGCAAAAAAACTAGGTAAGTATAATCCATTTTTCATTCTTAAAGGGGGTGAGAAATTCCAGCACCTTGTTTTCATGACCCAAACTAAGCCAGTGTTTAGTTTTAAAAAGCAGAATACATGTGTGCAAAAGGATTTTCTATCATACTATCATCTACTTGTTCTGTTTCTCTTGTGTATTTTTTGTTTTTATTATTATTATTTGTTTGATTTGATTATTCCGAGATATAATGATAAAAAGGCAAACTATAAAAGAAAGTTTATAAAGCCAGTATGGTCTTGATGGGCTGTCTGCTAAAATAAAGCAAGGTCATGGTACACACTTGAACGTTAATCATGAAGCCTGTAATTGTGGGGTCTGTCTGGCAAGAACAAAGAATGCTTATTCACAGGAAATATGCATGTGTAAAGCTTGTAACAATCCTGGGTAGTTAGAAAGCTGATAAAAGTAACAAAGAGTTAGGCATCTTGCAGACCTCAGCCAGACGTTAGGAATAGAGATGGCCTGGAGCAAATAGAATGTGTATTAGATAGCTCCTGGAGCATCAATTAGCCAAGGTTTAGGAATAGGGACAGCTAGATTACTAAAATGTTTATTAGATTATATTTCTTATTATCCTGCCTTGTCCCGCCTTCTACTTTAGTGAAAATGCATAAAGCTTTCTTAATCCTTTGTTCTTGGCTCTTGGCATTTTGGCTAAGATCCTTTTCTTTGGGGTACTCTAATAAAAAGCAATCAAAACCTGCACCTCATGTCTAGTGTCCCTCATTGGCCTTGGCACCAGGATCAGACCCACATTGGGTACGATAGTCTAGTCTAGTGGTTAAGGCATCAGGTTAGAAGCCAGGAGATCAGTTCTAGCCCTCGCCTGCCTTAGGTACAAAGCCAGTGGGTGACTCTCAGCCTAGCCCACCTCAAAGAGTTGTTGTAGGGAAAACAGGAGGAGGATGACATATTAGATATGTTGACTGTCTTGAATTAGAGCCAATAAGAGCCAAGGTGGCGCAGTGGTTAAATGCAGCACTGCAGGCTACTGCTAGATCAGCAGGTCAGCGGTTCAAATCTCACCGGCTCAGGG